GAGAGGTGGCGGAGAGAGCGAATGCAGGAAAAGGAAGTCAGAGAGAGAGCTAGATCGGAGGGGAAGCGGATGGGAGCGACATGGCAGTTGGAGAAGGAGAGGGAGTGGAGAGAAGAGAGAGATTTCAGGGCAGTGAAAGAGAGGGAAAGGTCAGAGGAGCAGTTGGAAAGTTGAAGTGAAACGAGGTGGCGGAAGGGCTTGGAGGCATCGCAGACGGTGGCGTTGTGTGGGGAGGGCTGGATGCAGGGGTCCCTAGTGGTGGGGATATTGAGGGACTGGAGAGCTTGTAGTTCTTTAGGGTCTAGAGTGGAGGCAGAGGAGGAAGAGGGAGTGGTGGTAGGGGGTTTAGGGGAAGAGGGAGTGGTGGCAGGGGGTTTAGGGGAAGAGGTGGGAGATGGAGTGGGGGAGACTGCGGGTTTAGTAGTGTTGGGGGTGGTGGCGGCGGCGGCTGAAGTGACAGTTGTAACAGAAAGGAGGAGGAGTAGGAGGTTGAGGAGGAGGAGAAATGCCGGCGGTAGTTTCATGACTCCGGGGAGTGTTAACGAGTTGGAGGAAGTGAAGTGAAGTGAAGTGAAGTGAAGGAGCGAGACCTGGAAGCAAAAGGAGGGGATTGGTTCAAGGTTGTCGGGACTGTTGATGATCAGTTTATGGTCATGGATTTTGAATTATTTACATAATTGCACCTCTCTTTGTCTTAATTTAATTAACTCAATCTTAACTTAAGAAATTTACACCAATAAAGTGAAATAAAGTGATTTTTTGATTTGATATTTTATAAATAGATATTAAATATTGTTTGTAATTCAATAGATTAAATAGTTTTAAGCAAAAAAAATAATTATTATCAATTATTAATTTCATTTAAATAATTAATTTAAATATTCTTATTATAAATTTATTATTTTTATTTTTAATTATAAATTTAAATTTTAATGTTAATAATTTAAATAATCCAATAGTAATCTTTTTTTATTAAAAATAAAATGTAATCCATTCAAATCACATGATATATGTGTAGAATGAAATAAAAAAATGAAAGAAATTTATCTATTATTGTACATCCAACATAAAAAAAATTTAATTTTTAATTTTTAATTTTTATGTAAAGTAAAACAGTGAATTTAAAATTTTCTTATTAGCTTCCTTAGAAGGTTGGAGATGGAAACAATCAAACAAGCCGCCTGTGGTGCCCACCTGTCCTTAGTTAAAAAATTACAGAGTCTAAAACATTTCTCTGTTAAATTCTAAAGTAAGGGAACAGGAGTCAAAGCCTCATATAAACAAGGAATTTTAAGGGTTCAAAAAGGAGCCAACGAATTAGTTGTTTTCAACTTTCTAATTTTTAAAAAAATAATAATATAGCAACAGAGGATGACAGAACGTACCCGAAAGACATTCCATCGGTACTAACTACAAAGAAAGTTAAAGAGAAATATGAACTCAAATTCTTACTTTTTTTTTTTTATTTTTTTTTATGGTATTAAAGTTCTTCCCAGGAGAGATAAATAAATAACTATATTAGAAAACTAAAGAATTTTGTTTATGGCAGCAAAGATAAAGATAGCCATGATTCTGCCCTCACCATTGTCACCTGCAAAGTTGGTACGGTGTTGCCCTCACCATAGAATAGGGGTAAATTAATCCATTACAAAACAATTATTATCAGTTAAAGAACATTAAAAAATTGTTAAATATCAGCTGGACTCGAGTGGTGTCCAGCTACTATACTTTATACTCCCTTGCAATGTAGTAAAAGTGTTTCAGAAATACTAAGAAATAGTAGAAGAATGAAAAGCAACTCTGCGTCGTGATCTCATTTGCCTTAATTATTTAAAATCTTTTAAAA